GCGCATGTCTACAAGAACTGCAAGAATTTCAGACAAATAGCGTAAAACTTTTTACTTATTTTTACTGAAAAAGACAGGTAGCATAGTGCAATATGTTTTCTATCCTAGTATAATTATGTTTTAAGTCCTTATTTGATTAATTATTCAAGCGCAGCTGTGTTATCATTGGCTGTAATATAACAAATTTTTATTAAATTTTAGAAGAACTTGCATTAATTACTATTTAACGATTGTAGTAGCTTGTGTACCGGATTTAATCGAGTAATAATCGAGTAATAAACCAAAAGCACTTTAAATATTTCAGGAAAAGTATTGATAGTCTAACCAGCAAAAAATTATCTTAAGAAAAGTGACTTTCAAATGAAAAAACTGCATCGAAATTGGTTGATCCGCTGGGTATACAAACAATAAATACGAACGTACGTACAAGTGTACGTACGCACGCACACGCCCACACATATCTTCACACACACGCACACTCACACACACCTTATAATTTGTGTGATTTTCGGTCATCACTTACATTTTTTTTATTAAATCCTCCTAATTTCTTTACACATTGCCGTATAACATAAGGTGTTGTGTTTGACATTATATTATGAATCAGTGCCTTTATAAGGAAATGTTTTGTATTTATACGAATAAATATGCCGCGAAAACGAAAAAAATATTTATTTATATATTATGATTCCATCTATTAAAATCTAAAAATTATTAAATGACCCAGCAAATATTTCTGTCTCGCAGATTCAAGATTAAAATACAAATTAAGCGATACAATGATGTCATTCGTAGAAATACTTTTTAATCTAGCACACACATATAATAATCTCTCCTCGGAGATCTCTAACCTCAAGATTAGGTTTGCATTTAATATGTTCATTTAAATACAAATCAATTGATATTATTATAAAACTGTTAAATAATTCAATTTCTTTTTAATTATATAATTGATCCAAAGAAAACAATCTTGGGATAATTACTAATGTTTAATATATTTAGTGCATTATGTGATTACCTATAAAAAGCAATACAATTATCAAGTGTATTCAATTGTTAACTATATAATATTTGTAATATATACTATAGTCATTTCTGTTGGTGATCCTATAAAATAAATAAATAATTTTTTTAAACACTAAATAATCGGATAAGGGTTTAAGTAACGGAATAGGATTTTTCAATTAGTGTTAAATCCTTAATTTTATATTATATATATAAAAAAAATCTCCTTATACAATATTATGTTTTAGCTTGAAACTGTAAAAATATGTCATGCAAAGACGCTGTCATGTTTTTGGGGCACTAAAAAGCTGCTGAACTTACCTGTATACTCTCAATAAGAAATATGTTCTTATTAAGGTTAATAAAATATTATTGAAAAAAAAACAATGAGAAAAACTGGTATGATATGTAAAGGAATATTTGAATATGGGTAATGGCTATGTTATTATATAATGAATTGCTTTATAAGTTATCATAGATAATTAAAGGAATAAAATTCTTCAACCTCTACATCTTGTTTTTGGATTATCCTAAATCAAATCATAATCATCAGCCTATCAGAGCCCACTGTTGAGCAAAGGCCGCTTTCTCACATGGAGAAGGTTTGATCATATTATCCTAAATAGCTGCAGTCAATTACTAAAAATTAAATATTTTTCCTACATTATGAACTAATCTGAACCATTTATCTTGAAGAAGTCATCTTAAATAAACTTGGCTAATTCTAAATAGAACTTGAATATAACTATAGTATTTGATATATTTATAATCTTTGTAAAATTTTTGTTTTTTAATGATCAAAGGATAACAATGTTGATGTTTTTTTTATATATATTTACCTACTTTATTTAGATAATAATAGTTCTACAGTAATTCTTATATCTTTTATTTAGACAATAACAAAATTTTGGCGAGATTTCAGTTCAAGACACACTAGATTAATATGCGGTTAACGTTGTCAATAATATGTGACATAATATTGTCAATTCCGTGCCAATAACATCCCTGGCTTGCCATGTACAAGGACAAGAATTATTGAGATAACTGAAGTTAAAATCGTTTGCTTTACAGCATATTTCTGTAGTGCTGTGTATTTTGCATTGCAACCCCTTTGTAGTATAACTTAGTGAATGTGAAAATTGTTTGTTTTCAAATGATTGATAACTTTCTTCAAGATGAATTATTTATGAACTACTACCCGTTTCAACTCTTTTATTATTTAGTGTTTATATTGGACTAAAAGTACCTTATAAAATTTATAGTCTTGATAATATGAGTTAACTGTATTTTACACAAAAATACTTGCAAGAATCATTTGCTGATAGTGTGTTGTCTTATACTAGTATGGAAAACACGTACCTCTCGGTGTAGACTGGCGTTATAAAACTTCTTAGTCCATGTATGAACTTCATAAAGATAATTGTTAATATACCTATTTCATTTTACTATTTCAAATGATTTTGTATTAAAATATACTACTATACTATTGTTTAAATACCTAGATGATACAAAATGAGTTTCCTTAGTACATTAAATCCATCTAAATCGCGTTATACTCGAAACTTCAAATCTATCACATCCTGTAACAAATTTTCGCATAACAGAAGTAAAAAGAGACACACGTTCCCATCTGAAAAAAAAAATTTTTGCTTGGATTAGAATTACAATGTATATCTTGCAGTTGAAACTATTTTTCATTTCGTTTCTCTGATCTAAAACCAGTTTTATAGAGTTATATGAAGATATATAGAGCAATTTTGCTCTTGCAATATATCAACCGTATTTAGTCCGAGTAGCGCTTACTTTTTTTTACATTAAAGTCAATAATGTAAATTTAATGCTTATTATATGTAAATACTTTTGTGAGGCAGCATTTGAATCGGTAGGGGCAAGTGAAAAATAGTAATAAGCTAAATTTACTTTATTTTCACTACAATCCTTAAATTATTTTACTCCTATTATTTGTCTATATTGGTGTACAATAAAGAGTATATATATATATATATATATATATATATATATATATATATATATATATATATATATATATATATATATATATATATATTATTTTCACTATTCTTTCCGTCAATATTATTTTTGCTTTAAATTTGCCCGTAAAAATTTTTTAATTATTTATTATTTTATTTATTTCAATTTTTCCAACAAATTCAATACACAGAGATGACAAGAAGACTATCTTTTATGGACTCTTATTCGTCTGTAAGATTAGAAAAAACGGATAGTGTTTCTTAAAAACTTAAAGTTGACATATGAATGTAAAAAAATAATAACATGTATCCTTGTTACTTTATTACACTTCAACAATGAAACTATAAACATTTTTTTTCTACTTAATTATATTTTTAATGCTTAACTGCAATAATAAATCATCTTTTATTAAAAACCTTGCAATATTGTGTAAAAACCATATTAGTTCTTGTCATTGTATGTCTGGGTGAGCATCTAAGATAAGCTAAATATGAAAGATGAATGTGAGTGCTAAATACTTCAGGTACCTATGTACTTACATCATTGCTATAAACCAAGGTCAATATAAGGTAAAAATACGTTGCTATAGAAATAATAGTAACATTAGTAATATACATAGTTTATGTGGTACTACTTATTATTAACACAAATATACATATAATTCGTATTTGTAGTTCCTTTTCATAAATGGAATGTATTCTTTTTTAAGATATATGAATAAAATTCAAAACATTCTTAAAAAACTAAATAGGGTATCAAAAATAATGTAAATCAAATGTCTTATAAATAATAATAAACAAATAAATTAATGTCTATATGTAATTTAAACTTCAAAAGAAAACTTATACTTACAAGTCTTCATTTTGAGTAATAAATAATTATAATAAATCTTAATTCACACAAAGTTAACATAATTATATTATCATGAGCCAATAGGAGCCCATTGATAAGTAAAGGCTCTTCTCACATGGAGAGGGTTAGAGCACTAATATCGATGCTTACTCAAGTTACTACTGGTAACTACTTTCTACTGATTTCACACTTATAATTTAAAACTATAAATTCAAGTTTCCTCACGATTTTTTCTTTTAAAGAATTTCAGTCGTATCTTAAATCTAAATACTTACTCTTAGAAAGAATGTAAGATTCTGATAAATCACATTGATACTTTTAAGGTGTTGAACCTTTACCCTTAAGCATGAGAGGTGTGCGTTTAAATTCTATTCTATAACTTTTTTTAATTTTTCCCTCTGCAGCAAAACTGATCATTTAACGCTCATTTTATACTCACCTCCACCGTCTCAGCTCATCTCTCTACACAATCAAATTTGAAACGAACCAACTAGGGTTGCCTTCGACGTACGTTCCAAAAAAGATTTGATGTTAGTTTCCCAAGAAATCGTAGCCTCTATTAGGACTCTATGAAATTCGTGAATATATAAATATATCTGGTCTGGTTCTTACATGACCCTAATTCTACTCTGTTACTTTGTACTCCAATACATATACAATTATTCCTACAATATTTACGTATTTGTCTTCTAGAGTCGATATAGTTCTTAAAATACCACGTATGAGCCTTATACCTCATATTGACCTTTGTCACATGCCAGCTTCACACGGTGGGTTTTTTTTTATCTAGAACCTTCGATTCCTTGGAAAGTTTTGACACTGCGATGATCTATGAACTATTCATGACAGAGAAAACATACAGCATGGGATTAACTGCTATTTTGATTTATACTTATTTATAAAAATAAATATTTTTTTTTACTTACAGATTAGTCAAATTACGGGTGCTAAGATCATTAACTAAACTTTATAAAGTCCTTGATAAAATAGCAAATTATAAAAATAAAAAAAAAATCATGAAAATAATAGCTACGTGACTAATACATTATTACCTATTATGTTATCTGTATTGTGGCTATATAAAAGAGTGATTCGCTTCCCAGTCTCATAAGCTAACTCTCGGCGGTCCACACCATACCTACGTTTTCACAATGAAGGCCATTATTTGTTTACTCTTCATCGCAATTTTTGCATTTTCTAATGGGGATAAGCCACATTACAATCTTGATGAAGCTCCTGAATTATTTGAGTTGTTTATGAAGAATTATAATCGTCACTACGAAAACGAAGCTGACAAAGAAGCTCATTACCAGGCATTTGTTAAAACTCTGAAAACTATCAACAGACAAAATGCTGAATCTTCAAGTGCTACATATGACATTAATAATTTTGCTGACTACACACCAGAAGAACTGAAAAAAATTCATGGTTTATTAACATCAGGTGAGTAATACTTTTGAATTTATTATTTGTATGTAAACGTTGATGAAGGAAAGTGTTTATCGATGTTAACTAGTCATTCTTATAAAATCTATACAAGGTAGGGAAGGTTCTACATATGAACAACCTATTACTGTAACCGTTTTGTAAAGTGTGCGTTTACGCAAAAAAAGCTAGCTTTTATAATTTTGTGTCAAGTGTTATCATTCATACTATAAATTTACAAAATTTTATACAAAATATACATTATGTACCACTATTGCTTTTGAAATAATTTTTATTTTATTTGTTTCAGATGACAATTAGTGTATATAAACACTGATTTTGTTTTAAACATTGGAAAATGGAAATCTGTCATAATCACGACAACTGTCTCATCATGCCAATAAATACTGTATTGAACTTATTGTTTCATTAACTAAGACACTTTTATTAAAAGTAAATTATTTAAAATTAAGAATGTGAACTCATTTTGCTATAAAAACCTCATCTTTAAAAATCTATAAAAATCTCGACTTAAATTTCTTTTTGTTGTTTTGAGAAACTCCAAACCTTATGACTTAAATTGCCAGCACTAATATAAGAACTCTGTCAAAGATAGACGCATCGAACAGACACTGCCAAGTTCTTTAAGAAAGTACGATTAACGAAAAATGATAAATAAGAGACTTTAGACATCTATATATATAAAAGAAAGTCGTGTTAGTTACTACACTTATAACTCAAGAACGGTTGAACAGATTTAGCTGAAAATTGGTAGGGAGGTAGTTTAGAGCCAGGAAAATGATAAGTTTTAGTTTTAATTTAATTCTGATTTGATTTTTATGTAACTTTAATGTCATTTTTATTTAATTTTGATTAGATTAGATTTATTTTGTATTTAATTTTTATTTGTTTTTATTTATTTTAAATTTAATGTAATATTGATTGAATTGAAATTTGAGTTTGATTTTATTTTGATTTAATTTTATTTAACTTGCATATTTATCCTGAATTAATTAAATAATTTAAACAAGTTTTAAATTTGCTCTGTAACTGTAACTATTATTACTTATAAAATAAATATACATACTCAATGAATGCCGTGTACACTTGTAATTGACGTGCATATCAGACTTTAATATAACTTCTAAATTTTAATATAAATGTTTGTAATATGTATGTTGTAAGTGTGCTTTAAAAAAAAATTATCCCGTTCGACAGCATTCCCGTGGGACTTGACATGAAACATCAGTCACTATAAAACGTGGAATAACGAAACACAATTGACAACTATGCAATTGACGTATAATGACACATGTGTAATGACGTAATGATGACAATTAGATATTTGTAAGAGATCTACTATATAAAAATAAGTCCGGTTTTCCATCCTGACGCTATAACTTCAGAACGAACGAACCAATTTCCACGGTTTTGCATTCGTTGGAAAGGTCTCGGGCTCCGTAAGTTTATAATAAAAAAGTTCAACAGAACAGCGGGAAAATCTTTTTTCACATACAGCGCCATCATACCTGTACTACAAATCAATATTTTTAGTAGATGGTGCCGGTGCATGATACATTGTTTGACAGCTACTCATTGTTCTCTGCTCAGTTAATTTTATGTGACAAACCGGTATTGTGTTTGTAGTTTGAACTCTTACGTTTAAAACCATTTAGTGTTTGCGGGATAAATTTAGAAAATCATTGTTTTTCACATGGGCGTTATATTTTGCGTGTTCACGAGTTGGAAAACCATCCGCTTTATTTGTGTTAAAGTTAGACCAAAAAAGGACCATTTCAATGAAACGGATAATTTGCGGACACGTATAACGCTTTATTTTTGTAATCGAAATGAATTTATTACTGTTGTGAAATGAAATAAAAATTTTCGGTTCGGTTTTAATATTTCACGATTTTTTAGACACTTTCAAGTCTTATTGAAATGTTGCTAATATTTTTAATGTATTTATCTTAATATTTTTACTTAATATCTATTTTATGTTTTAATGTATAATTTCGTTTCTGAAGTATTTTGAAGTTATTACTTTCGCGAAACATATGTAGAAAATTCATCGAATAACCTCGGGGTAATACCGTTGTATGTACGAAATATCATAAAACAATTGACGGCTGACTCCATGAAATGAATACGTGGCCATGAAACAGAAGATTTCTGAAACCAAGCAAGCAATATGATGGCACTGCTATCTTGACATCAGATCAATCATGTAATCCTACGTATAACCTTTAATTATAAGGTTTAATTCAAGATTGTTAACTATAATATGTTTTAGTAAGGTATATAGTTTTTTCTTAGACCTATAGCTGCTTGTGAACCTGAATTAAGCAAACGACATCAATAAACCTTGTTTCCATCCTCTTATACTTGATACTTACACAGATGAGTTTAGTTCTTCTTTCGTGTAATTGGCGAAAGCTTTTAATATATGTATTAATTATGCTGATTTATTTTTTCTTCATTATTTATCTTTTTTTAAATAGTTGTACCAACGATGTATATAATATTTAATTAAACGGATATGTTAACATTATAAGAAAGAAACAACATAAAAATTTCACTTTAATTTATTGAGTTAAATACTTAAAATTACTTTCATTTTAAATATTTAATATTTCATACAAATACCAAAACCAAGTTATTTAAGGTATTTTCAAAATGTCCTGCAGTATTTTATTTATTGGTAGATATTAAAATACAAGTAGACAATACTCAACGAACAGCGATATTGAAAAAAAGAAAACTACACCAGAAGCTTAGAATCTTCACAGCTGAAAAAGAAGGATTCATTTTTATTTTTTCTTAATTTATTGGTAAGCCTCGCTAATATCAAAATAATTTTATATGTTGCGTTTCCTCAATCTTGGCTCGTCGGTAACACAAACTTATCAATGGATTAAAAAATGGGAATATGGGAAATAATTTTTAAATTACTAATATGATACATTTGTATTATAATAATTTTATTAGAACACTATAAAATATGCTTTTGATTCTGAATATCTAAGATGCATGATAGTAAGGTAGATAGCGAACTGCTTAATAATGTAAAGAGAGTACAAATAAATGTATGATTTATATTACGAGTAGTATGTATGTATATTCAAACCGTTTCAGGAATTGATAAATTAAGTCCCACTGGTTACTTTGTCATATAATTTTTGAAAATATTTAAAACATCATCAAATAATTGTGGGACTTTCTGTACAATAGTGTAAGTGTGTAGATTATTCAGAACATCTCAACTGTACATTGTTTTACACATTAAAAAACAAAAATAGTATGTAATCAATTTATATAACAAATAAATACGATTTTAAATAATGTAATAGAAATTATAACAAAAATAATAATTATTATAAGTACATATTTTTGCAATTTATTAAACACCCTTTTAAAGTTTAAGTATGTACATACATTGTGACAATCTTAAATATTATTATAAAAATATAATATTTTTTCGAAATTACTACACAGATATAGGTGAATATGTCTGAATGACTGAATTATAAAAACCACAATAAATTTAATGTGATTCTTATTATTTTTAACATCAAAGTGTTGGTTCGGTTTCATTTTTAAACCATGTAATGATTAGTACGAAGCTATAAAATAAAGTAAACCTAACCTGTGAAACACTTCATCTTTATCTAGTTTTGTTTAAGTACATATGATTTAAGACTCACACCAATGGTTACACCATGTGGGAATGTGGGACAAAAATCATTTTCAGCGAGGAAGGTCCTGCATAACTCGTTTTTTTATAGCTATGGACTGAGGTGAGCATCGATTAATTATTACTCATAGGGCCAAGTCCCTCAGGTTAGAATTCCGGGTTTATAGGCTTGAACGTGTTTGAGAAAAATATCTATGACTTGTGCTACTAGACTTCCATTGAATATAAAGTTCCATCACCATATTGTGAAGCCCATGAAATCGTTTACTAAGTATCAAAGTCATTAAAGCCATTTTGAAGCTATCTTGGATATGGGTACCACTTTGACTAACTACACTTTGTAAGAACAATAGAGTTAAAAAAAGAATATTATTCTTTCACTTGTATGTGATTCATTAAAAACCTATGGGTATAATAGCTACGTGACTAATTGTCTATTAACTAGTATGTTATCTATATTATGACTATATAAAAGGGGGATTTGCTTCCCAGTCTCATTAGCCAGCTCTCGTTTGTCCACAACGTACCTACATTTTCATAATGAAGGCAGTTATTTGTTTATTTTTCATCGTACTTATTGCAATTTGTAATGGAGATAAGCCACATTACGATCTTAACAAGGCTCCTGAATTATTCGAATTGTTTGTGCAGAATTACAATCGTCACTATGAGAACGAAGAAGACAAACTAGCGCATTTCCAAGCTTTTGTTGAAACTCTAAAAACTATCAACGAACTAAATGCGCTACCTCATAGTGCTACACATGACATTAACAAATTTGCTGATTACACGCCGGAAGAACGCAAAAAAATCCTTGGCCTTAATCCACCAGGTGAGACTATCAAAATGTGTTATTATAAGAGAAACTTTGTCTGATAAAGAAAAGTACCTGTCGTTATTTTTCTTGTTCTTTCAATAAAAACTATAAATAACACTTTTAAGAAATTTTAACAGTTTATCTGTAATATCTGAATAATAAAAATAAAAAGGATATATTTTTAGAAGTATCCTTAAAGTCAGTACCCATGCCTCTGGTTCAAGGTATTGTTTCTAGACATACATTTATATTTCTTGAATCGTCTTTCACACTATAAAATGCTAGGTAGATAATTTTTATTAATAGATAGTATATATTATAATATTTCTCAAAAATATATAAAAAATATATCATAATAAATAATATATATTTTCAACAAATTCATAAATAGGCCTAAATAAATTATATATTATTCAATGAAATTTTATTGTTTTTTTGTTTCAGATAATGCTTAAGATATATGAGAGTATTCATATATCATGCATAAGTTAGTATAAACTAATGAGTACGTTTAAATCGTTCGTAATTTTTGGATATTGAAAGATCATTCTAATAAATACTGTTTAGAATTTTTTTGTTTTATTTTAAGAAAAGCTACTTAAAAAAAGATATATTATTAAATAAACTTTATATTAGGGTTTCTGTACCCATTTTTAAAAACATGAGTATAAGAACCCAAAATCAAAGACAAATATGGTTTCGAAATTTCTTCGCATTTAAAGATATATCCATATTTATAGTTCGACTTATCAACAAAATCGGTGCTTGATTGTTATGTGTAACATTAATATTTCCAAAATGTACCTTATGTATAATGGGTGATATTATAAACTATATGAAATAAAATAGATGGTGAGCATATAAAAGTAATGTAATAATAATATTAGTTTAGGTTACAAAGCCGCGAGTGTATTCACATATTATGTATATAATATGTGAATACACTCGCGGCACTGTTGCACCTTATATATAGTTATATATAACGAAAATATTATTATTATTATTTTTCTTAGCTATAGTATTTGTGCAATAAAGAATAAATAAATAATATTTTACCCAGTATTCAGAATATGTAATATAATTATTTGCTACCTACTTTTATTTCTGTTATCTTTAAGATAAATCTCAACTTTTTCATTTAAATTGCCACCACTAGTACAAGAACTCTGTCAAAGGCAGTTGTCGGTAGAAGCCGCTAAGTACTTCGAGAAAATTCGATTAACGAATCCCGCAGATTTATTGGGTTTTCATTTTATTAAAATCTACGTCTTCTGAAACTTTGTAACCTTTATGAAATAAAATGTTGTATTTTTTTTATAAATTCATTTCAGTTTTTGTTATTTATAACTTATTGAGCTCATACTGTACAAACCAAGATATAATAAAATAAACAAAGTAGTAAAGTTTAGTAAAATTCTTTCATATTCATAATTTAGTTTTGTTTTAATTTTTAATAATAGGTTTTACCTAAATCTAATATTATAACTTTAACTATCTGCTTCTGTTTTTCAATATCCTTATAAGAGCAATACTCTTTCAGATTCAATTCTTCTAAAATAAAGTTTTTGGCAATTTCTCTAAAGGATTAATGTTGGGGTTACAATCATTATGCCTTCTCCGTTTTCTACAGTTTATAATTTGAATTTCTAATTTATTCGTATTTATTAATTGTTCACATATAATTTTTTTAATACAAATACTTATTTACCACATTCTTATAGCTACTACGTGCTATTTTTAAAATTATGGAGTTTAAATTTATATTAAGTAATCTCACTCATCACGTTCCGTTTTTTCAACCATTTTTACCTTATCTATATTTTATTCAAATATAGATAAGAATTAAATTATATAATACAATTTTTTTATTACTTTCATAACTTAATCTAGAATTTAAAGATGAGAAAACATTATACCAATCAATACTCGGTTCCAAATTTTGTTGTTTACTCTATGAATATTTCTAACTGCTAGAAGACTTTGGTTATAATTTTCTTTCTGTATCGTTTTGTAGCTACTTTCTATTCTTATTGAAATATATACATTATCTTATATTTTAGACCAAACAAATAAAATCGCCAGTGGTCAGTTATATAATAAAACCTTTAGTAGGGTAATCTTATGGAGTTATAAATTTGGTAAACCTCAGCAGCAAGTTTGTTCCGTTTCAGATTGTTCAGTTTTGGTTCCAAACAGACTTATGCGAGATGCTTAAATCAAGAATATATACAACTATGATAATGGCTGATGATACTTTCGTAATTCAAGACTACTTAGTGTATTGACTTTGTCTAATTCGCTGTTAGCCAAATTACCATTGACTTTCTACGTAGTACAAAGTAACAGGGCACTTCATTTTCAAATTATGTAAGTAACTATCGAAGAACAATAATCTGTTATATAAAACGGGAAGGACTTATCATTAAACCAATAGTTATCTTTAAAATAAAGTAATTTTGAACTCACATACTTTATAAGTTACACACGAAAATCTTTGTTCCTAAGTGAAAAAGTGTTTATACGACTTTTAATCTTTTTTAACCGAGTTTATAGATTTTTGTTGTCCTCAATGCTTGGATTTATTATATTTTTGTGCATATAATAAAATAATAACATTATATAATATATATATATATATTACGTCAAGTACTTTATGATAGCACAATGAAAGTCATTTGTTATTTAATGGTAATTGCATACATGCCCCAAAATTTCTACATTAAAATATGTTCTGATTCACTCCCAGCAAAGATCAGTATATTCACGCTGACGATTGAATACCAAATGTTTACGCATCATATAATTGATTGACTTTATTATAATAAAATTTACAAAAGGCCCAAGTAATTGCTTTCTGGCAAATTGAAAGTTAAAATGGAAAATATCCGCTTTTTAATGCTAATAAAAATAATTTCGACTTCACTCTTTCATATACATACATGTAATTGATTCTTATTAATCTAATTTCGTTTCGTAAATTCCACATAGTTCACATGTAAACTTATTTTGAAATATTCAATAACAATGTCTCTATTTTTCAACGTTACATTATTATTCAAAATTTGCTATAAACTTAACTTCAAAAAGAAAAGCTTTCATATTTAGTGTTTACAAACTTTTTGTTGATAATAATCAACTTATCCCAAATGTATTTACGTACATACATATACTGGTAGCAGCGTTCAAAAGATAAAATTAAGATCTGTCTCTTAATTTCAGTACTCTAATGACTTTTTGAATGGTCTGATGGTTAGGTTAAATGAATGATAGTATAAAACCTTACCACTGTACGTTAAACTTGCAGTTGCTCAGTTCTTTATACTTGATGATTTAAATATTCATGTATATGAAGTACTTGTTATTAAATATGTTATATATAATATTGTTTTTCTATTGAAGTCTGATAAGTAAATATTATTTTTATTTGGAGTGTTTTTTAAAACCAAATTTTGTCTTAAATATTAACTTTATGATGGTTTATCACATAATAACAATTTGTTTCTATCAATTATAAATTTGGTTATACATATATTGTTTATTATTACTTGTGGTGGAGAGTCAATGGCATATAAATTAATTATTAATATTAACTTAAAATTCCATTTATAGTTTTCCCTCATAAAATTAATTATAGTTTATCAAATTTCAAATTAAATTTTTTGGTAAACCTTTTCTTCACGTTTTGAAGAAATCTGTGGACAAGAGACATATATTTTGATAAGCTATTGGTGATGTGTTGTATTTCAGTGCTTCGCTTTACTGGATTTATAAGTGAATGTGCACGCAAGACTCTTTAGATTCATACACATGTACTGAAGTTGCTGCTTCGAAGTCATATTAATATACACAATTGAGGATTCATCAATTTGATATCCTTTTGATAGAAAATCTTTTGATCTAGTCGCTGTTTTCTTATAATTTCCTTTTTCATACTATAATTTAGCATAAGTGTCTTAGTTAGTCCAACTTCAGTACACATTTGTTTTAAACTAGAATCCCAAAAATAATAACTACTATGATAAACATAATTAACCAGTTTTATGCTCAATTAAGTACATCAAATTATAAATTATATTGCGTATAATTATATTCGGTTTTCGATTTATTTATGTTAAAATGATATTGACCACATAATTTAAAACCATAAATTCTGCTATGGAAGAGTATCTAGTATTTAGAGCATTATCTTTTATAAATAGCTGTAGTCAAAACTTTCTTATAACTTTTACTTATTTATATTAAACTAAAATACTTCGACCTCTCATAAATCCTCCAAAATTATAACAAATAGAGATCAGAGAAAAGTATGAAGGAACTTTTATTATTTAGGAGACCTTGATCGAATTTATTTAATTCCTTAAAATTTTCTCAAAAAAAACGAAATAATTTAAATTTATTAAGTACGTTTACAATTGAACAATTTATTTTAAAATATGTGTAATTATAGATTTCAGTTTTATAATTCATATATCATTCTTACTTCAACTCATGCCAACTTGCAATTGAACCAATGATCTGTTCAAATTACATGTCTTTGTGATTATTACATTATGTTCAAGAAACTCATCGTATACCCCAATTTGATTGAATAGGCCTTGATTTTGGATTCATAGGTTTTCCAAATAAATAACCAAAATTTTTTAAATAAAATGATAAATTTGGGCGACACATTTTATTAGATAAAAGTTGATATGAGACTTATTTACAAATCAAAATTTTTTGGCCTTTACAAATTTTTGTCTTGTGCTGTTACGTTACATTCATCCATATATGTATATGTACATTAATCTTTTTGAGCTCCTGAAAGATATATGTTAATTATTAAATAAGTTTGTTATTTTTTAATTCCTAGGTAATTGAAGATAAGCTACAAAAAATACACATATCAAGATAAAATATTTAATTATGCATGGTGCGTTTCACAGAAACTAGAGGTTTCAGGAAAACTATAAAACATATATGTGTATTACATAATAAGAATTGCATATTAAATAATTGTATACTTATGATCGCCC